TTTCAGTCTGATTTTAGCTCAGCAAAAGGGAGGCATAAATTCCTCTGAGACTTGGAATGGGGACACAATGAAATTATACCAGGCCAGAGAAAGCAAAGCCACGAAATGCCATTATGCAGAGCTCATCTTCTATCTACCTAAAATGAGATCTAACTCCTAATTTAGCATGGGGGTTAAGGCATACGAGGTTTGAATAAAGTGACCTGAAAATATGCCAAACACATTTGTGCCTGTCTGTTCAATAATCCCAAATACAGAATAAAGGAGAAGGGATTGTGGCATGTCCATCCTCTTTTCCCTCTGACTGTCTCTTTCTCTCTCAGACAATTGTGTGTACAATAAGGCAAAAACCTTTTAGGAAAAAAAAATGAAAATTATGAATGTTTAAATTAAAGTTGAAATTTAAGAAATGAAGACCAAAATAATTTTACTGGGAATGAAGAAAGAATTAAAGACATTACATAACAATAATCTTAAAAGAAATAAAAGTGAGATATTTTTAAAAATTTAAAATAAAATTTTAGCTAATATTCATTAAAACCTAAGAATTTCCAAGTGGAAAGTGAACAAATATGAAGACCAATTAACTGCAGAGATAAATGTTTTTACAAAGTGGTAAAAAGACTTGATGTAGTCAATAATTAGCTAGAAGATCTGAATTAAATATTTAATTTTTAACAAAAACAAATTTAACAGCACTTATTTTCATACGGTTGATTTAGTAGTGTATAAACTATAGAAAAAGTCACAAAACATACCTGAAATGTGCTAAATGGTTGAAAAGTTGGCAAAGCCATATGCTATTTTTTAAACAATTATTTATTTAATATTATTATTATTATTTTGTTTTTATTTTACTATAGGGCACATGTGCTCACCAGAACGAGAGAGAGACAGAGAGAGGGAAATTGAAAAAGCAAGCCATCAGTTCTGTGACTTGAACCCTATTTTCACCCTATTTCAAAGTCTAGTGCCTTAACCACCATGCCCCCTGCTCGCCCCACCAGATGCTATTCTGAGGTTCCAGACATAGGGAAAATATGAATTGCTTCAATAATTGTTTATGGACCTACATAGAAACAAGATGACATGTGGGATACATTCACTTCTACAAGAGTTATGAAGGTGAGTGTAAGCATGGGGAATGTAACTCATAATTGAGTACTATTCATTCTAATCATGCCAAGGGAGTATGATATTAATGTTCTCCTCAAAGAAACACAAACCATTTAAGGTGATAAGCATGATAACTATCTTAGCCCAACTGTTCCATGTTTTATTTATAAATCCTAAAAGTACTTTGTATTTTATAAGAATACGTACCTGTAATATTTATACATTTTTGAAATGTATAAAAAATTGTGAATGTGTGCACTCCTCATTTATACTCTTAAAAAAGTCATTGTCCTCCCCATGCATTAATGATCCTCCTCTAAAATTACCTCTGTTTACATGACAGTGTCTTTATACAGCTAAATGAATCCTCATCTCACTCACGAGGTTCTCAAAACCTCTCTTCACTGTTTGGAAACAACTTGCTTATATACAGAGAACAACATTTCAAGGTTTTCTAGAGCCCTGGGAACATTGTTC